TTACTCCACCTAAGTCCAGGGCTGCACACATAGGAGGTGTCCTGGGGCTGGACTAGAATCAGATGATAGACACTGCAGGGTGAGGCTGCAGGGCCATCTGCTCAGCTCTGGCCACAGAGGCCCTGGGGCTCTGTCAGCATCACTGTCAGAGCCCATGTCTGCCTGGAGCTCACAGGAGCCTGAGCTTCCAGCTCGGAGGGCCCAGGGCTGTTTGTTTACTCCAGGTATATGTGCCAGCACCAGGGGCTTATCCTGTGCATAGATCAAGATGAAGATGCCTAGGCCCTGCCCTGGAGAACAGTGGGGCCAGCCTGGGGGAAAAGATGGTATGAACATTTTAAGGACATGGTTTTTTAAAGATGGGAAAAGGGTTTTCCGTTCTGTTTCCAAGGTTTCCTCCCACCTCCCTGAAGCAGAATTACAAGGCCATTTCCAAGGGCAGGAACCCAGCTTCCACAAAGACTAGGCATAAGGTAGACTTGGGGGCTGGGGGTAAGGCCAAGAAATGGTAGGGTGGCTTTTCTCCTCCAGCTCCCAGCTGCTGACCCTTTACCCAGAGACGGACCAGAAGGAATCCTATATTCAAAATGCTGAAACCCCTGAGGAGAGAGTAGACTTAACAAACGCTCCACTAAAAGGCCATTGGTTCCCAGTCACTGGTGGGTGCAGGCTGCCTCTTGCAACCGGAGGGGGTAGTATTTTTCCTACTTGCCAAGTGGGGCCAATGCCAGACTTGTGAATGGGCCTAGGAGACAGCCCACCTAGTCCACAGTTTCTTCATAGTGGAGCAATGGAAGAATTTTTTCACATTTCTTTTACCCTCCATTGGCCTAATTTAAAAGGAAGCCAGCCATACTATAGGGCTTACAGTCTCAAAATATCTCCCCATAAGACTCTTGGGTCAGTTTCTCCACTGTAGAGTTGCTATTTTCCTTTTGTGCCAGTGGCTTAGGCCAGCCTCCTCATGGCATGTGGAGGCAGCCAGAGCACCCTCCAGGCCCCTGTCCTGTTGGCCCTGCTGCGCGACCAGTGCAGCTGCCGTCTGAGCTGTCCTCTGCGTGTGGTAATCTGTGTGCTTGGGGTCTGCATGTTTGCATTGCCAGCTGTTGCCACTGCTTGGGACTGTTGGCAGACGGTGAACAAGAGGGCCACTGGCAGAGCAGATCCCATTGCAAGAACACCATCTTGCAGTCATCTCGGGGGAGGGAGTAGTAGGGTAGCCCAAGGGCTGCTGGAGGGGGGCTTCGGGGTCTTCCCCATCCCCCACACCCAGCTAGAGTGAAGCAAAGGGCAAGCTGGGCAAGTTTAGATGTTTGGAGAAACATGATGGGGTGGTCAGAGTCAGGAGGATAGGTGGGTGAAACGCTCAAGAGGGGTGGACATGGAATGGGGATAGACATCTGGCCAGAAAAACAAAGCACCCAATCCAGATGGAAGCATTACAGGTTGACCACAGCCTCGCCACTCATGTCCACAGGCTACAAGGCAGCATCTGGCTAATTATTCAGATCCCCAGCCAGATAGATGGATCCTCAAACAGACCCCTAGCCAGTCAAACAGATACACAGACCCCAGCTAGAGAGACACAGGAAACCCTGGTGGTGTAGCAGTTAAGAGCTACGGCTGCTATCCAAAAGGCTGGCAGTTCAAATCCACTAGGCCCTCCTCGGAAACCCTATGGGGCACTTATACTCTGTCCTATAGGGTCACTATGAGTTGGAATTGACTCCATAGCAACAGGTTTGGTTTGTTGTTTTTTTTTTTAGCCAGACAGACAAACTGCTAGCTGGACAGATAGAAGCTTAGGGAAACAGACTCTCAGCTAGACAGACAGATGGACAAGTGGACAGGTTCTCAGATGGAAAGACCCCCACCCAGACAGCCAGATAGACCTGTGGCCAGACAGACACATGCACCCCCCCCCCCAAGCCAATTTGAAGATGACTCCCAGCCAACTAGAAGACAGAACCTCCTGGAAAGTTACCCCCTCCCCCTCCTCTCCCCCCTCGCAACTGAATAAAAAGATGTTCCCCTGCTGGAGAGACAGCTGCTTTACCCTCACCCAGTCAACCAGACAGCCAGACTTCAGCAAGACAGGCAGGCTTACCCTCAGCCAGCAAGATAGACCCCCAGCCTGTGAGAAAGACTCAGCAGGATGGACAGATTCCCCCAAGCAAGCTGGACAGACAGACCTTCAATCTTCGTGGACAGATAGATGCTCAGCCAAACAGATAAACAGATTCCCATCCCCCCAGTCAAACAGTCCGTTAGCCCCCAGTTGGACAGCAGATCCTCAGCCAGTCAGGTAGAGACTTTCCTAGTCACTTGTGTCAGGTCCCCCATCCCCTGCTTACCATCATAGATAACTTGGATGACCCAGTGATCCCCAATGCTGCCACTGCTCCCCACTCCTTCCCAGGTACCACTCCCTGTTCTCATGACCACTGACCTCCCAAGGACCCCTCCACTTTGACCTCCAATGACATCCACTACCACCAGCGTCCACAAAGACCTTTCATGACCCCACCATGACTCCCTTAGTCATCTAGTGCTGCTGTAACAGAAGCACCACGAGTGGATGGCTTTAACAAAGAGAAGTTTATTTCCTCACGGTAAAGTAGGCTAAAAGTACAAATTCAGGGCGTCAGCTCCAGGGGAAGGCTTTCTCTCTTTATCAGTCTTCTTATCCGTGTTCCTCCGGACTAGGAGCTTCTCTGCGCAGGGACCCCGGGTCCAAAGGATGCGCTCTGCTCCCAGCACTGCTTTCTTGATGGTATGAGGTCCCCCAACTCTCTGCTTGCTTACCTTTCCTTTTATCTCTTGAGAGATAAAAGGTGATGCAGGCCAAACCCCAGGGAAACTCCCTTTACATTGGATCCGGGATGTGACCTGGGTAAAGGTGGTATTACAATCCCACCCTAATCCTCTTTAACATAAAATTACCATCACAAAATGGAGGCCAACCACACAATTCTGGGAATCATGGCCCAGCCAAATTAATACACACATTTTTTGGGGGACATAATTCAAACCATGACAATGACCCTCCCCCACTTACTCTAGTATCCACTCACCCCAAATAACTGCCATTAGCACCCACAAATATTAAGGGACTCAGATATCCTCCATGATTCCCCCAATAAGCCTCCATATTTTCTCAAAGTTCACTGATACCTCTGTATCCCCAAAGACCACTGATCTCCTCACTGAGTCTCCAACAACCTGTGAGCATCCACAGAACCTCAGTGATTCCAGTGACATTCACTATTATGCCCTGAGTAGGAGCTCAGTGACCTCTGACTCTAGACCCTGCAATTAAAGTAACACTCCAAATTTCAGTGGCCCCTCACTTACTTCAGTGTCTTTCACTGACACTTCTTTGTCCCAAATTAACCACTCATCTCCCAGTGATTACCATTAACACCCACTGACAGCCCCTCTGTGTCCAGTGACCCCACTGACCCACCGCATTAATCTCAAAGAACCTCCCACTGACCTTTCATGAATCCACTATTAAACCTCTGTCCTAAATTATTGCTATTGACCCTAGACCACCCTTTAAACCCTCAAAGACTAAACTGATAAACGATGATAAACACTGAGTTCTTCAGTGACCCCCCCCCCGCCATGCTCCTCAATCAATTAAACATCCCCAATCACTTAATCCCCATTGACCCATTTGCCTTCTCAATCATTTAAACTGGGGTCAGCAAACTACAGCCAGTGGGCCACAAAAAATAAATCTAAAGAATATTTCATGACACATGAAAATTATATGAAATTCAAATTGCAGCGTCCATAAATAAAGTTTTACTTGGAACTTGCCATATAGTCCACAAAATTGAAAATATTACCTACTCCTTTATAGGGTCCCAATGGATCAGGAATCGACTCCACGGCAACGGGTTTAGTTGTTTGGTTTGGTCCTTTAAGAGTTTGTGCATCCCTGACTTAAATCAACATTTTGATCCTTCAATGGATTAAATTGGCAACCTGATAACTTTGATCCAGTTGATCCTTCAATGACTTAAAGTACATCTGAGTTTCCCCAGTGACCATCCTTTGACACTTAAATGACCTCAGACTCCATTGGTGCTCTCTCTAATGACCTCCCCACCAAAACTCCTACCATGCCCCGGGTGAGCGCCAGGCTCACGCATCTACCCAGGCCCGGCCCTTGGCGGGTCCCTAGGCGCCTGTCCATTCTCTCCAGCCTCACCTAGGTGACTCCAGGGCGGGGCAGCAGCGGCTTCTCTATCCTTCTCTTGCACATTATCTGAAGATAGCAGAAAAATAAACTCTTAAAGAGTGTTGAGAGCCTCACCTCCCCCTCGCCCCCCAATACCACTTACAGTGCCTCAGTTCTGTTTCCCGGCAAGTTTATCCGGGTTGAGATTCTCAAAATAGCACTGAACCCTGGCGCCCCAGCCCCTCCCAGCCTCGGAAAAGGAAGGAAACTTAGGAAATAATCACCTACAGAAGCACCTGCTTTAACCTGGTCTTTTCCACACTACGGGTGGCTGGGTGTCATTACTCGGGTCAAGTCGGGTGGGCCCGCCTCCGCTGGCCTCCCTCGTACCTGGCTGGAGCGCGAACGACGCGACGGCCGCACTCCATGAGTCTGCCGGGCAAGAGGAGTAGCAGAATCCGCGCACTCAACTCCACCCTCTGCCGCGCCTGCGGCCCGTCTCCCATGCCCAGTTCCCAGAGACTAGGCCTACTCTGGAGACAGGGGGCGCGAAGGGGCTGTGCGCTGGACCACGGGCTATCCATCCAGCGCACGCGCCTCAGGGTCAACCCGGGGAGTGGACCCCGGAGTTGAGGCGAGGCTGTACTGGAGGAAGCGTCAGTGGGAAAATGCGGACGCAGCCAGGCCAGCGCGGCAGCCGCCAGGCCAGCGCGGCAGCCGGGTAAAAGGGAAACGCCAGCGCTGGACTCACTTCGCTCAGCCTGGACTGTGGGCGCTAGGGACTCTGGAGGCAACCCCCGACCCCGGGCGCCTGTGGGCGGGGTTTGGAAGGGCTCTGAGTGTCACTGGCAGAAGAGCGCGCCCTGCTTGCCGCTGCGCGCTTTCGTTGGGTGGCAAGGACAGAAGCGGGCCGCAGTGTCTACACTCGCTGGACACACTGAGCTCAGCAGTCCGAGTGGACCTCGCAGGCCCGTGGCGTCATGAATCGCAGTGTGGACTCGGCGCGGAGCTTCCTGGAGCAGCCGGAAGCGCGGGGCGGCTATAAGGCTGCGGTCCTCGATGGCGAGTTCAGCGTGAGTGAGAGAATGTGGACAATGTAGCGGCACGCTCGGGCTCCTCTGGACCGCCCGGACACCTGTCCCTTCTGGGCTTCCTGCCGCGCTTTGCCTTCTCTTTCTCGGAGTCCTGGGGGTGCCTCTCTGCCTCTTGTTCTCTGTTTTTCCCTCGCCAACTCCCAGCCCCCCTACCCCCATGCGTCTTTGTCGTCACCTCTTGTTCGTGGCCGGCTCGAGCGGCGCCCGCAGGGCCGCGGGGGCGAAGTCCCCCACCTGGGACGGGCGGGTCCCCTTGCACACCCACAAGATTCTCGCTTCCCGCTGGCGTTCCCGGAGCAATCGCGCAGCAGTGCAGCGGGGAAGCGGCCGGTAGGAGCTCACCTATGGCTGTACGGACCGCCGACCCCACTGGCCGCTTCAGGCGACCCGGCGGTCACCCCTGTGGTCGTGGAGGAAGAAGGAAGTGTGAGCAGCTGGAAGAGGAACCAGGAGGACTGGCCGCGGTGGAGGGTGTGGACGCCGGGCCGTTTCCCAGCTGCAACCGGGGCGCGTTACCTGGTGCCTCCTTCAGTGAAATGGGGACGTTAATGACCAAACTGGCCTAAGGTTTAAACTAGTGTTGTGAGAAAAAGCGCTTGACACATCTTGAACGCTCACTTCATAGGAGCTTTTGACACTAGTTATAAAGATTCTAAATATTACAATGGGGTAATGCATAGCCACGCCAACCAAACACTAAGGCAGTGTCTTAGGTATGACAAGTATATACATAATGAAACCTTATATAACAAATATAGAAACACACTGTACAAATACGTAGACGCAATATACGGTGACTTGTATATCAAATTTAGAAATATGAAATATATAATAGGTACATAATAAATTCACATAAAATATCTAATAAACCAAACCCGTAGCGACCCTATAGGACACAGTAGAATTGCCCCATTGGGTTTCCAAGGCTGAAATCTTTACAGAAGCAGACTGCCACATCTTTCTCCGCCTAGCAGGCTGGTGGGTTCCAACGCCCAACCTTCTGGTTAGCAGCCAAGCCCTTTAACCACTGTGCCATCAGGGCTCCCTAAAATATGTAATAAACATGTAAAATAAATACCAGTATGAATAAAGTATACAAAGACATTTGTATAATTTTGTAAAATAAAATATATAAAATAAATTAAATAAATAAAATAAAATGCAAAAAAAAAAAATTTCTACATGCACAGTTCAGGGCCATCGACTACACTCTTCCAATTGATAAATATGTACATAAACAAGGAGCCTGGGTGGTGCAATTGTTAAGTGCTGGGCTGCGTGGTTCAAACCCACAGCAACTTTACTGTAGAAAACATCTGGCAATCTGCCCAATGGGGCAGTTCTGGTCTGTCATATAGGGTCAGTATGAGTCAAAATCGATTTATCAGCACACAACAACAGTCTTATATAATAAATGACTATAATTATTAAGTACAATAAAATAGATAACATCCAAATTTATGAAATAATTTTATTAATAAATACAGTATAGTGAATATGTAAAAATAAATATAATTATTGTAAATAATTTACACAATAAACATGTAACTTCATAAATATACAACAAACAAAACTTAAAATTTATAAATTGAAGTTGTTTAATATGTTCATAAGGAAATATAACATGTAATAAATAGATAAAATTTGTGGTGCAATGAATCCCTTTTGTGTGACCTTTCTCTCTATGGTCTTGTAACTCCCACTCAAGTGATTGGGTGGAAATGTGCAAATAAGGTAATTGTGGCCCACCAAAGGGATTGGTCAGTTTTGCCATCCCACTAGACTTAAAAGAGAGCCAATTCCAGAGCAGGAGAGGATCTCACCACCACCAAGAAGAAGGGCCAAGAGCAGAGCATGTCCTTTGGACCCGGGATCCCTACACTGAGACCCTCCTAGACCCAAGAGACAGAGAGAGAGAGAGAGAGAGAGAGAGAGAGCTGTAACACTGAAGACGTCAAGAAGTCAAAGAGAAACTGCAGCAGGAGAGCCTGGCAGGAGATGGCGTGGTGGGCTTCCTGGTCCACGGAGCGAGAAAGCTGAGTGCCTTCAGGCAGAAGGCTTGAGGCTTGCTGGTGGAGTAGGGTGCCTCCAGGCACTTGGTAGAGCTAGGTTTGCTGACCCAGAGAGCTAGAGCTGAGGCTTACTGGCTGGGTGGAGTGCCTCCGGGCACTGATTGGCAGAGCTTAAAGAGCTTTGTAACACTTGCCTGAACAGCGAAGAGGCTGAGGGGCCAGAGAGAGGCATAGTTTCAAGCACGGCTGGGAAGAGGCTGTCCTGATGGAAGAACTGTATCCTGAGCGTTCCTCAACCTGAATTGTAACCTGTTACTTCCCTAAGAAACCCCATAATCATAAGTATTGTCTGTGAGTTCTATGTGGCCATTGCAATGAATTGTCAAACCCAGCAGAGAAATGCAGAGTGCCGTGGGAGGGATGATTATTGCCAGAATTGGTAAAGATGGGGGAGAGAGGAGGCATGTCTGACCTCCTCCTCATCGGAATCAGCCTTGGGCTGTTGATCTTGATTCTCCTTCTCTCTTGCGAAGTTAGAGGAGGTCAGACACCACCCCCACGCTATTCTTACAAAAGTCTGAGGTAAATCTGCAAATAATTTAGACAAATTAAAAAAAAAAAATGCCTTCGAGTGGATTCCAGGGTAGAACTGCCCCATAAGATTTCCAAGGTTGTAAACCTTATGGAAGCAGACTGCTATATCTTTCTCCCTTGGAGCGGCTGGTGAGTTGGAACTGCCAACCTTTCGGTTAGCAGCTCAGCAGCGCATTAACCACTGCACCATCAGAGCTCTCCATAAATATAAAAATAGGTATTGTAAATATAAAACACTAAATAAGAAGTGTATAATGAATGTAAAATGCATAATTTTTTATGCAAAATGAAAACATACATAATACATGTGAACATATAATACCCATGTGGTAGATGACATCATGCCTGTGAAGCACTGTTAGTGACAGTGCATAAGACCTGGTGGAGTTGCTCATCCTCTCTGGGCCTTGGTTTTTCATCTGTATAGTGGTACTCATTACACTAGGATGTCTGTGGGCTTAAATGATCCCATGGGCATGAGTAAAGTGGTGATTGGCACACAAAAGGTGTTGCTAGGTGTTAGTTATTATCATAGTGATTATGAATACCTGATGATGATGGTAATATACTATTCATTAATTATAACAATATAACAGTCATAAAGTACATGTGGTATCTTGTTATATATAGTCTTAGTTATCTAGTGCCGCTGTAACAGAAATACCACAAGTGGATGGCTTTAACAGATATTTATTTTCTCACAGTTTAGGAGGCTAGAAGTCCAAATTCAGGGTGCCACCTCTAGCGGAAAGCTTTCTCTCTCTGTCAGGTCTGGAGGAAGGTCCTTGGAGATCTTCACGTGGCTTGGCATCAATCATCCGCCATATCTGCTTGCTGGCTTGCTTATTTTAATCTCTTTTGTATCTCAAAAGGGATTGACTCAAAACATGCCCTACACAAATTCTGTATCATTAACATAACAAAGACAACCCATTCCCAAATGGGATTATAACCAAAGGCATAAAGGTTAAGAATTACAACACATTTTGGGGGGACATAATTCAATCCATAACACACATGCATTATATGTTATAGTTTATATACATTGTATATTGTCATATATTATGTTTATAATATATTAAATAATACATAGTATATTGTATTACAGCTATAACTGTTTATAACAGTGTATAACATGGACTGAGCCCTCATTATGTATGTGACCTGTGCTGACAGACCTAGTTTATTCCTTACTCTGCCACTTCCTGTCTGTATAACCTTTGAAAACCGTTCAACCACTTGGTGCCCCAGCTTTTTCACTGGCACAATGGGGATGTTAGTAATAGTACCTGCTTTGTAGGTAGCATGTGATTATTATATGCACTTAGCACAGAACCTGGCACAGAGAAGGTGCTCTGGGTCATCATTATTGTTATCATCATTATTAGCCAGGCTCTGTGCTAACCGTGGATTCTAAATTCGTCACTTGCCTTTGTATCCCCTATGAGTGTTCCATTGTCACCAGGACTCTGATGTGGCTCTTCTCTTTCTCCTCTCTCCACCTGGTCTGCTCACGGTGACTCCCTAGGACATTCGGGCTTGCTCAGCCTCCTGGAAGACTGAGGGCGTCTGCTCCACGGAGGGAGCCAGTCAGGTGGGGAACATGAAGAAGAACCGCTACAAAGATGTGCTGCCCTGTAAGTCAGAGAGTCGTCCAGAGGGAGCTGGTGGCACTGTGCACACGCCCTATGGGCGGCAGTCCAGGTGTCAGCAGGGACCTTGGGTTACCCATCCTTAGCACCCAACTCTCCTCGGAGAAACTTGCCTCGGCTAAATTTCTCCTGAGCAGCTGCAAGGACACCTCTGTGGAATCTTGGGCCTTTACTGTCCCCCTCTGACTTTTGTCCAGGGGATTGTCAGGGCTTCTGTGACCCCAAACTCCACCTTTCTCACCTTTCTTGCTGGCAGATGATCAGACAAGAGTAATCCTCTCCCTGCTCGAGGAGGAAGGACATAGCGACTACATCAATGGCAACTTCATCCAGGTCAGGCTAGGGGTCTGGAGGGAGGAGAAGGTGGGAATGGAGTGGTAGGGGAGCAGTCTGTAGTGAACTTAGCCTTTACCAGGGTGCAGATGGAAGCCAGGCCTACATCGCCACACAAGGACCTCTGCCTCACACCCTGCTAGATTTCTGACGCCTGGTCTGGGAGTTTGGGGTCAAGGTCAGTTTGGGAAGAGGGTGGGGTAGTACTAATGCTGTGAGTCTTCCCTTGCCATGTTCCGTGACTCTGGGCATCTCCTCTCATCAATGACCTTATTAGTTCCCCCTTGATCCTATTCCCGTGGACCCCCTAACCCAAATCACCTCCCTCTCTTGTCTAGGTGATCCTGATGGCATGTAGAGAGATGGAGCAGGGGCGGGTAGGTGCCTTCAGCCCTCCAGAATGTGCATGTCTTTGTGCAGGGAGGAGGGAGATGGGATCTTATTTGCTCCTCCCTGAACCCAGGACCAGAGTGCCCAGTTCTTGGAGTGACCCCACTGTGGCTCTATGGAAAGCTCACTATTACTTTGTTTAGTTTTTTGTTGATTTTTTCCTTCTCATTTCTGTTCCTCCTCCTCATCCCCCTAGTGTTGGCAACACCCTTCTTGCTGGCTTCCCACCCCACTCCATGCCATAGACCATAGGCCCAGTATCATCTGGCTCCCCCTTACGTATCTAATCTTTTCCCAACACACTCCCCTTTCTTTACTCCACTGTAGTCACTCTGGCCTCTGCTATTCCTCAGATGTGCCAGATGTGGCTCTGACTCAGGGCCTTTGCCTTGGCTCTTCCCTCTGCCTGGATTTCTCCATCATGACCTTCAGGTCCTTGCTCAAACATCATTTTTTCAATGAGATCTTTCTGGACCCCCATACCATTTAAAACTCCAAGCGCTCCCAATCTCCTTCCCCTGTCCTACTTTTCCCTTTTTTCCCACAGTTCTTACTGTATGGCTGAATATGGTCTATCTTGGCAAGAGTTCTGTGTGTGCACTTGAAAAGAATGTTTATTCTGATAACATACTAGATAATCTACAAATGTATTATGATCATTGTCAATCCTGTTTCCTTGGTTACAAGGAAAGCTCCACAAGGGCAGGGGTCTTTGTCTGTTTTGCCCATTGGCATAGTCACTTAATAAATGTATGTCAACATTGAGGGCACATAGCTTGATATGGACATCAAGTCTGTGGTTTCTACATCCTCACCTGCTCCATTGGTGGGTTGGGGTGGATGTAGAATTGCCCTGGGGTAAATGGCTAATCAGGGAGTCTGCATTCCTGATTGTGGTAATTTGTGTTTTTTCTCTCTTTCTCAATTTCATCAGTCAAGCTAGAGTAAAGATTGACAAACTACAGCCCATGTGCCAAATCTGTCCTGCTGCCTGTTTTTGTAAATAAAATGTATTGGAACACAGCCACCCTCTGTTGTTTACATATGCCTGCTTGCACGCTACAATGGCAGACCTGAATAGTTGCAACAGAGACTGTATGGCCTTTTACAGAAAAAGTTTGCCAGTCCCTGGGTTTGTGAATTTTATTAATTTTTTGAAAGAACCAGCTTTGGGTTTTATTGATTTTTCTCTATTGTTTGTTCATTTTCTGTTCCATTAATTTCCTCTCCTATCTTTATTGTTTCCTTCCTTCTGGTTCATTTGCTCTTCTTTTCCTAGCTTCTTAAGGTGGAAGCTTAGATCATTGGTTTTTCTTTTTTCATACGTATTTAATGTTATTAGTTTCTCTCTAAAGACTTCTTTAGCTTCATTCCAAAATATTTCCTAATTTCCTGTGTGATTTCTTCTTTGATCCATGGTGTTTGATCATGGGTGTTACCTAGTTGCCAAATATTTGAGGACTTTTCACATATCTGTTATTGATTTCTAGTTAATTCCATTATGGTCAGAGAGCACACTTTGTATGATTTCAATCTTTTTAAATGTATTGAAACTACATGAATATGGCCATGAGTATGGTCTATGTTGGTAACTGTTCTGTGTGTACTTTAAAAGAATGTGTATTCTGCCTTTGGTATGTGGAATATTGTATAAATACCAATTAGGTCAAGTTGTTAGTGTGGTTCAGATCTTTCATATCTTTACTGACTTACTTTCTCTTCATGTTCCATAGAGGAGTGTTGAATTCTCCAACTGTCTATAATGTCAATTAAGTTTGTCAGTAGTGATATACAAATCTTTTATGATTCTTCCTAAATTTTGTCTATTTCCTCTATTATTTGGTCAAAGAGGAGTGTTGAAATCTTCAACTATAATTGTAGAACCCACCAGTGGCTCATGGGAGAAAGATGTGGCAGTCAGCTTCTGAAAAGATTACAGCCTTGGAAACCCTGTGGGGCAGTTCTACTCTGTCCTATTGGGTCATTATGAGTCAGAATTGACTGAACGGCAACATTTTTTTAAAAATTATTATTACACTTTTTGGCTATTATGAATAATGCTGCTATGAACATTCATGTACAAATTTTTGTATAAACATATGTTTTCATATTTAGGAGTGGAATTGCTGTGTCATATGGTAATTCTATGTTCCCTAGGGACTAATGATGCAAACATATTTTCATGTGCTCTCATTGCCTATTTGTATATCTTCTTTGAAGAAATGTCTATTCAGATTCTTTCCCATTTTTTAATTGTGTTATTTGTCTTTTTTATTATTGAGTTGTGAGAATTCTTTATATATTCTGGATAAAAAAGCCAGTTGACATCGAGGCAATCCTGACTCATGATGACCCCATGTGTATTAGAGTAGAACTGTGGTCCATAGGGTTTTTAATGGCTGATTTTGCAGAAATAGATCACCAGGCCTTTCTTCTGAGGCACCTCTGGGTGGATTTGAACCACCAACCTTTCAGTTAGCAGCTGAGTGCTTACCTCTTTACACCACCCAGTAACTCCTATGTTCTGGATCAAAAAAACACCCACAACCAAACCCATTGCCATCAAATTGATTCCAACTCATAGTGACCATATAGGACAGAGTAGAACGGCCCCATAGGGTTTCCAAGGCTGTAATCTTTATGGAAGTCAACTACTACCTCTTTCTCCTGCAGATTGGCTGATAAGTTGGATCCGCCGACCTTTCTGTTAGCAGCCGAGCACCTAACCATTACACCAGCAGGGCTACTTATATTCTGGATAAGAAAAAACCAAACCCACTGCTGTCAAGTTGATTTGACTCATAGTGACTCTAAAGGACAGAGTAGAACTGCCCTATAGGGTTTCCAAGGCTGTAAATCTTTATGGAAGCAGACTGTCACATCTTTCTCCCGTGGAGTGGCTGGTGGGTTGAAACCTCGACCTTTAGGTTAGCAGCTGAACACCTAACCATTGCACCACCAGGGCTCCTTATATTCTGGATACTAGTCCCTTATTAGATATGTGATTTGTAAATATTTTTTTCCCAGTCTGCGTACTTTTTCACTTTCTTAATGGTGTCCTTTGAAGCACAAGTGGGTTTTTTAAAAATATTTTATTGTGTTTTTGGTGAAAGTTTACACAGCAGATTGGTTACATTTTTCATAATGTGTCAGTGTTCTCATTATTTCCATTCTGGTTGTTCTGTTTCCATTAATCTAGCTTCCCTCCCCCCCCCCACTTCTCATCTTTGGTCTAGGGTAAATGTTTACCATTTGGTTTCATTTAGATGATTATTTAGAGGAGCACAGTACTCATGGGTGATGTTATTTATTTTTTGAGCCTATCTGTCATTTGGCTGAAAGGTGACCTCTGGGAGTGGCTGGAATTTCAAATTTAAAGGGAATCTCAGGGCGATAGTCTTGGGGGTTCCTCTAGTCTCTACCAGTCAAGTCTGGTGTTTTTTAAAGGAATTTGAGGTTGTTTTTCTTTTAATTAATTTTTTTATTGGAAGTACAAGTGTTTTCAATTTTAATGAATTCCAATTTATCATATTTTCATTTGTGCATTTGGTGCTGTATCTAAGAAGCCATTGTCTGACAAAAGGTCATAAAGATTTACCCCTATATTTTCTTCTAAGTGTATTACAGTTTTAGCTCTTACATTGGGGTCTCTGATCCATTTTGAATTAATTTTTGCATAAGGTGTGAGGTAGAGGTCCAAATTCATTCTTCTGCATGTGCGTGTCCAGCACCCTTTTTTGTTTCCCAATCACTGGTGTTTTAGTTTCCTAGGGCTATAACAAAGTACCACAAACTGGGTGGCTTTAAACAACAGAAATTTATTCTATCACAATTCTGGAGGTTGAAAGTTCTAAATCAGGGTGTTGGCAGTGTTGATTTCTCCTGAAGGCTCAGAGAGAAAATCTGTTCCATGCCTCTCTCTTAGCTTCTGGTGACGGCTGGCAATCCTTGGCATTCCTTGCCTTGTAGATGCATCACTCCAATCTCTGCCTCTATCTTCACATGATATGTCTCTCTGTCTTAATGTCCCTACTCCTCCTTTATAAGGACATCAAACATATAGGATAAGCGCCCACTCTACTCCAGTATGACCTCATGTTAACTTAACTAATTGCATCTGCAACAAAATCATTTCCAAGTAAGGTGACATTCACAAGTACTGGGACGTTAGGACTTAAACATACCATTTTGGGGCACACAAACTAACCCATAACAAGTGGTTTTGGCATCCTTGTCGAAAATCAATTGACCATAAGTTTAAGGGTTTATTCCTGGATTCTCAATTCTATTCCATTGATCTATATATCTATCCTTGGGCCAGTACCACCTATCTCATTTACTCTAGCTTTGTCATGGTGTATGTCCTTTTTATACATTGCTGCATTTGGTTTGCTAGTATTTTGTTGAGGATTTTTGTTATGTATATTCACAGGAGACATTGGCCTGTAGTTTTCTTTACTTGTAATGTCTTTGGTTTTGGTATCAGGGTAATACCAGCCTCACAAAATGTGTTGAGAAGTGTTCTCTCCTCTTCAAGTTTTTGAAGAATCTGTCAAGTTTTGTGTCATGGATCTAATTGTGTCCCCAAAAAATATGAGTGAACTTGGCGAGGCCATGATTCCCACTATTGTGTGATTATCCTCCATTTTGTGATGTATTGTAAATTCTAGCCTCTATGCCTGTGGTGATGGTCCCATTAGGGAGAGAGCTGTCCGTTAATGTTAGTGAGATAGGATTAGGTCATGTTAAAGAGGATTAGGTCATGTTTGTTACGGTAATGAGGCAGAATTAAGGTGGGATGCAACACCCTTACTCAAGTCACAAACCTGATCTGATGTAAGGGAGCTTCCCTGTGGCCTGCAACACCTTTTATCTTGTAAGAGATAAAAGGAGAGACAAGCAAGCAGAGAGAGAGAGACCTCCTACCACCCAACGGAAGAGCCGAGAGAGAAGCACATCCTTTGGACCTCAGACCCTGCACTGAGAA